CCACGGCGGGAGCGCCACTGCGCTCCCAAGTGGCGCACTGAAGCAGTGCGCCACCGGGCCGGCCCTTAACTGCCTCTTTTTTTTTTTCCTTTTTGTCTTTTTTCGTCTCCGGCGACGGACCGCAACCCTCACTGTCGCGCCCGTACCGGACCGGGACCGGCAACGGGATCGCAACCCTCGGTGTTGCGCCCACACCTCGCTCAGCCAGTGAGCAAACCGGCCATCCCTATATAGGATCCGAACCCATGGCCTTGGTGTCATCAGCACCGCACTCTACCAAGTGAGCCACGGGCCAGCCCAATAATTATTCTTTTAGAACCACTTTTAACACCAATTTCTTAGCTTGGGTATTCCACAGGGTATAGATTTGAATTTAAAACCAACATAAAGTATAATCCTGTAGTTATAGATTCTCAGGAAAGCTTTTTTTTTTTCTACTTGGAGCGAGGAATAGGCAGACAAGCTTCCTTGTCACCTCCCTATGAAAGGTTTTTTAAGGTCCACCCTTCGAAGGGTGCTAGCCTTTTCAGCACAATTTTTGGAAATTTCTATTCCAACTCCCCATCTTGCACAGGCCCCAAACCCTTCTGTCCCCATGGGGCATTAAAACTCATTCCACTTTATTTCTATGATTGACACCTCTTTCTCTATCTCAACATATTCCCAGTCAGAGCAGCTTCAGTTTAGTGCTCTGGTTTTACATTTGCTCTTTGTTTTGGGTCCATAAGGACTTTCTCTACTTTCTTGTGAGCTCGACTACGCATTTAAAAACTTGCATTTACCACCATGAACCATCTCTCCCCTTTACCCCATGCCCTTCGCCGCCCCCTCAAAAGCCAACTTCTCCTTTTATGATTATTACTATTATTGTTACAGAACATATATATGAGTATAATCATCAGCTGGGTCATCTGGCATGGGAGGTGTTTTGGAGTGAGGGAAATTGTTGATCTGCATATAATATAGAACATATTTTCTTTTAGCTGTCAAAAATAAAACTATGCATTTAAAAATATATTTGTTACATTTTATGTAGCACTTTTATGTGTTGTGACAGGAGCATTTCCCGAATATTTACTCCGGCAATACTGCAGAAATGCAAGTGCAGCAGTCATACTTGTGCTGTACCCTGGCCCCAGCTGAGTGGTCTAAGACTGGATATACCAACTCTCCTTTGTGTTTTTATACATTGTTAACTCTCCCTAGGATAGTGTCATTCATTCTCACCCTTTCCTTTGATATATCTAACTAACATGTTTTTCCTCATAACCCAGCTCAGAAATCACTTTTTTTTCAAAAAGTCTTCCTTGGTTCTCTTGAGATTATGCCTCCCTTCTTTGTATTTTGCAGACATAATTTTATTGTGCTGTGCATTAACATAATAGTTTTCATTATTTGTTACATATTTATTTCCCTGCTAATTTTGAGTTTCTTCAGGGCAGAGACTGGTCTTATTCATCTGTGTACAGCACCAATGACAGTGCTTGGAATGTGTTAAGTGCTCAGGGCCGGCCCCGTGGCTCACTCGGGAGAGTGCGGTGCTGACAACACCAAGGCCACGGGTTCGGATCCTATATTGGGATGGCCGGTTTGCTCACTGGGTGAGCGTGGTGCTGACAACACCAAGTCAAGGGTTAAGATCCCCTTACTGGTCATCTTTTTGTGTACAGCACCAATGACAGTGCTTGGAATGTGTTAAGTGCTCAAAAATGTTTGTTGAATTGAATTCCTGAAGTAAGAGCGAGCAACTAGGCTTGAAAGAAAAGAGAGATGATCTGAGATAAGACTCCTGGGTGAAAGGTGGGATTTAAAAAGAGAGAAATGCCTTCAGAGAAAGGAACCTGGCTTATTATCCACAAGTTTGTCCTTTACCTCCTTCATCAAACGCATTTCTGCCTACTAAGAAATCCTCTCAGATTTCCCACAGAAGCTGTTTGGCCTCGGCTAAGCCAGCTGGTATAAACCCCAAGATATCAGGCCTAGACCAGAAGCTTCTCAACTACCTTCCTCTTCACACATCCTCTCCTGGTTTACCAGGACTTTTTACTTCAATAATAAAAAGAGCACTTCCACATATATTATCTCATTCACTCCTTATAAAAGTTCTGTTGAAAAAGGAATACCCCCATTTTATAGATGAAGGCACAGAGCCTTAGAGAGGTTAAGAACCTTGCTCCAGAGGCTGGCTGGTTATCTCAGCTAGTTAGCTCAGCTGGTTACAGCACAGCCCTATAACATCAGGTCAAGGGCTCAGATCCCCTAAAACAAAAGAATATTGCCCCAAATCACACACTAGTAACTAACTGGCAGAGCCAGGATTTGAACCCTGCTTGTTTAACTCCAAAATTCACATTCTAAACATAACACTGAACTGTCTACTTTCCAGTAGGTCACAGGATAAACCTGACAAATATAAAGGTATAATATGTGTAGAGCTATGTGACAAATACGAATATGGAGGAAAAAAATCAATACATTCTAAGCTCTTTAAGTGTCAGGAAAAAAAAATAATACATGTGGACAAAGTCAGGAATAACCCACATGAAAATATAATTTGTTCCAGAGTAGTAACAGAAAGGAAACATTTGCCCACCACCAACTTGTGCCTGGCACTTATTTTATCTCATATTTCTGTAGGATAGGTAGTGTTAACCCTATTTTTATAATTATTCAGTTTTACAGAACCGTTACGAGCCTGTGCTTCGCACCCAGACAGACCTGGGTTCAAATACTAACTTTAACTCCTACCAAATATGCCAATCTGAGATATTCTGGAAAATGGGGTAATCTGTAAGATAGGGATAATACCTACCTCAAAGAGTTGTTGTAAGGGTTAAGCCATATAAGAGGTGAGAGTCCCTAGCACAGTTCTTGTCATATGGTGAGGTCTCAATAAATGGTAACTTACAAAACCAAGAGAGATCTGATAATCTGCTCAGATGTATATACCAGTTACACGGTGGAGCTGTAATAGGAATTCAAGTCTGTGTGATATAAAAATCCACATTCTTTCTCTTATACCATGCTGGCAGAATATTTTAAGTCTCCATATAATCCAGGGATAATACCTACCTCAAAGAGTTGTTGTAAGGGTTAAACCATATAAGAGGTGAGAGTCCCTAGCACAGTTCTTGTCATATGGTGAGGTCTCAATAAATGGTAACTTACAAAACCAAGAGAGATTTGATAATCTGCTCAGATGTATATACCAGTTACACGGTGGAGCCGTAATAGGAATTCAAGTCTGTGTGATTTAAAAATCCACATTCTTTCTCTTATACCATGCTGGCAGAATATTTTAAGTCTCCATATAATCTTAAAATGTTTTTCTAAAAGTCCAGATTTCTGCCTTTCCAGATTAGTGCAATTTTTAATATTTTTCTATTATAAATTTAATACATAACCATAAAATATAAATCAACCTTATTATACCATCCAGAATTCACCTTTAACTTTTTAATTTTTTTCCAATCTTTTTTCCATATATATTTTTTCACAGTGCTATGCATAGCTTTGCATTTTCCAAACCTTACATCATAAAAACTTCCTCAAGGATCCTGCCTGTGGCTCACTTGGCAGAGTGTGGTGTTGATAAAAACTTCCTCAATATAAAATATTTTTCAAAATTTTTATTTTATTTCATGCTTCATTACTGCTTATTTATAACAACAAGTGAAGATACCATAATTTGTTTAATCACTTACCATGGTGGAACATTTACCTGTTTCCAATTTCCATAAACTGTGCAATGCACATCCTTTTAACAGAATCTTTGCATTTCTGAATATTTCTTCAGGACAGATTCCTAGAAGTGATATTACTGGGTCAAAGAGGATGGAGAGTTTAAAGGCTTTCAAGTACTCAAGAAATGTTGGGTCAAAGAGCATGGACCATTCAAAGCTTTTCAATAAAAATACTGTCAAGTTACTTTCTAGGAAGGTTTTCTAATTCATACTCTCACCAGCAGTACAGGAGAGTGCTAGGTTCACATTAATAAAAAGAACTCTGCTCTTTTGAAAAGTGCTAAATGGTGCGTTTAAACTTATATTTCTTCGATTAGTTAGGTTGAGCATTCTATTCTGCAATTCATATTGCCTCCTTAGTGAATTGCCCGTTGATAAACCCGTTTGCTCGTTTTTCTATTGGGATACTGCTTTACCCTTAGAATGTTGTTTTTACGATGTAAAACATACTTATTAAAAAACCATCTGGTTGCTAGTCCACGACTGCTGAACACCGGCAGAGGCTCATAAAAGCGCGCTCACCCACTTGGGAACTCTCCAGCCGGCCTTTATTCTCCACGGCGGAAGCGTTCTCCACAAATCACCAGGATGGGAACTGCTGAAAAGGCGGCGGCTCTCCCGGCCTCGGGAGGAATGTCTCGCGGGATCTCAGCTGCCCTCAGGGACTCCGACCCGACTACAAATCCCAACATGCAACGTGCCCCGAGGCCCGAGCACCCGAATGAAGGCTCAGAGCCAAGGTCATGTGTCCGTCTGCGTCACGCGTCCGTTCATCTCGCCCACGCCTTTTTCTTCAGCGTCCACCTTGGTCGCCATTTTGTGAGAGAGGCTATGGAACCTGAGTCCCGCCGACTCTATGGTCTAGCGTTTCAGGGCTCAACCAATCGTAACCGAGATCTCGGAGGAAAACCCCGCCTCTAACCGCATGGAGGCGGGAATTGCCACGAAGCTCCTGTGGACAGAAGGGAAGAAGCTGCAGAAAACCAATAAGAAAGGAGCACTCGATGACGCTAACCAATGGGAACGCAGGGGGATTGCGGCCAATGAGAGTGGAGGGAACGCAGGACACGTGGTGGGGGAGCTGGGCGCTGAGACCTAGGGCTAAAGCTGGGAGGTGAGTCAGTCACCTTGAGCCGGGCGAGCGCTGTGGGCCAAACCCGGGCTGCAGGGCAGTGGGCGTGCAGGTGAGTTGAGGCCGAGAGCCAGTGATCGGCAGGGTTGTGACGTGGGAGTCTGTAGCCTTATCAATTAATGTTCATTACCGACGGTAATGAGCGATGAACAGCCCCGGCTGGGGCGGGTCGAGGACAGCTGTGTAAGATGGGCAGGACCCTGCACGTCACCCGCCCTGTATCTGCCTCCAGTCTTCCCGGGAGACCGTCCCCTTTCGCAACATTTCCTTCAGGGCCTTCGGTCTCCTTCCTTTAATTCCGATCTTCGTGACTTTCCGGTGCAGACCTGCCGCGCTAAAAGTGGAGGACTCAGGAGTTAGCGCTGTCCCTCTGACCTCTAATGCCCTCCTCAGCCGGGTCACGGTGCAAGAAAGAGCGTGGTCCAGGGAGGACGGACGGGGTCAAGGGGATAACCAAAGGTCAAAGGTCGCCACTACTAGCAAGTAACCAGGCTCTCAATGGAATTATTACTCTTTATCCCTCTGCAGACTGAAAAAATGCAGACCACTGGGACATTACTCATTTCTCCGGCTCTGGTAAGCTGCGGCTCGGGTTGCTCTGTAGTGCCAGGTGTGGTGTGGGAGCCATCAATGCTTAATGAATGAACTGAGAGGAGCTCGGCGTCCTGATGATGTTGGCTCTTTGGGGAGGCTGTAGGATGTGATGCAGGTAACACGCCTGTTTATTTGGGCCTGTAAACCAAGCTATCTTGGCTTTGGGATGTTGTCAGAGAATCTGGATCTGACCTATACCCTCAGTCTGGCTTGGCTGTAGCCAGACAGCAATTCTCAACCATTGCTGCACTTAGAATCATTTGGGAAGCTTTTAAAAATCCTGATGGCTTCCCCAAATATTGTCTCTAGGAGATAAAAAAGAAAAATCCTGATGCCAGGCTACACCTTAGACCAATTACATCAGACTCTGGGAATGGGGATGGAACCCAAGCATCTGTATTTTTTTAGAACTCTCCAGGAGATTCCACTATTCAGCCATTTAAGAATCACTGCACCAAAGAATATCTCAAGAAAGCCATGTTACAGAAGGCTGTCCTTAGATGGCTGTTCAGGAGCCACACCAGGCTTACTGGCCCACTCCATTTAGGGTGTGTAGCATTGAGTACATTTTAGCAAATTTCCCCCCTCTGATTTCTTTGGTCATCTGAGTACAAACCCTTTCTGTACCTGGTTTGATTTTAGTGTGGGTTTTTGTTCCATTCTGGGAAACTGATTAAGGCTGTGTCCATAGCACTGAACTTTGGTCCATGGTTTTGAGTGGTGACAGTTGCCCCTGCTAACTACACGAGGCCATCAGGACAGCTGTCTGTGTTGTAGGCCTATCTGACAGAAACAGGAATAAAGTAATTGACTTTGAAATACATTGAACTTTTTCTGTTTATGATGTTTATAGTTTGTTTCTTTCTTTCTTTGTAGTTACTTTTAACAGAAGCTCAGCAATTAGGGTGTTTTCTTTTCTTGCCTGATTTGGGGGATGTGTCTTCTGTTTTTACAGATCCGCTCTTGTACCAGGGGTCTAATCAGACCTATGTCTGCCTCCTTCCTAAGTAGACCAGTGAACTCATCTACACAGGTAAGGGAAGAAGGGCCCTCAAGAATTTACCCAGACAGGAGTCCTTCAGGTTGAGTTCTTTAGGCCAATGTGGGAGGAGAGTTAGAGAATCTGTGGTGTTTTTATAGTACTAAGTCCCCCAAGGTGAGCACTGTAGGTGAGAAAATTGCAAAAGTGGGGCTTCCCTAATCCATGAAATTTCTCTAGCCCTGTCTGAAAACAGATGCTAAGACTAATTCCCAGCATATTCTGCAATCAGCATTCTGTACTTGCCAGGCAGTTTCAACACTCAGGTGGCTGGATTGAGAGGGTGGAGTCAGCCATCTGTCCTTGTGCCTCACTAACTCCCTGCTCTCTCCCTTCCTTATTTCCCCTCCATCTAGCCTTCCTACAGCAGATCCCCACTCCAGGTGGCCAGACGGGAGTTCCAGACCAGTGTTGTCACCCGGGACATTGACACAGCGGCCAAGTTTATTGGTGCTGGAGCCGCCACAGTTGGTGTGGCTGGTTCAGGTGCCGGCATTGGAACAGTGTTTGGCAGCTTGATCATTGGCTATGCCAGGTAAGTTTGGGGTGGCCTAGAGCATCTCCCACTGTAAGTTCCACCTAATACGTATCCACCCTGGCTCACTTAAACCTACCAAGTTGGGACTCTGCTTGCCCATTCAAATCCCAGGATATGTGCAGGCGAGGCTAGGCCCTCTCCCATTCATAGCACTCCCCATTCACCTCGCCCTCCTGTGTCCTCCACCTCCACCCCTGTCCTCACCCCCTTCTCTCCCTGGGCTGACATCCAACTCTGTCCCTGGCAGGAACCCGTCTCTCAAGCAGCAACTCTTCTCCTATGCCATTCTGGGCTTTGCCCTTTCTGAGGCCATGGGGCTCTTCTGTTTGATGGTCGCCTTCCTCATCCTCTTCGCCATGTGAGGCTCCGTGGGGGTCACCTACCTGTCCCTGCTGGTTCAACTCCATGCCATTCCTGGTGCTGGAGTGTGCTAAGTTTTACCATTAAACACGTTTCTCTAAATCCATATGCCTGTGCCTCTGTCCTTTGACCTTGGGGAGGGCCTTCGTGGAAAGGTGGGAAGAAGGAATTGGGTTGGCCATTGGTGATTAGGAACTCCTCAGGCCTGAGAAGTAGCACTGCCATAACGGTAAGAACATGGAGGGTTCTCGTCATCTCCCAGGAGGAACATGGATCGGAGTAATGATAATCTGTGCTTTTTCCCCTTCAAAATTAGCATATTAATTTGTAACATTTTAGAGGGGCTTAATTGCACCAAGCTCTGTAACAAATGTTTTACATTTGTTACCTCAACAACCCTATGAATTATAAACACAATTGTTAATCCTGTTTTGCAAGTGAGACCCAAGGCTTAGAGAAGCAGAATAACTTGTCCAACTCACAGAACTGGTAAATTATGGAATTGGGATTCCCCCTCAGGCCAGCCTAAACATTTAACTGCTGCCACGTTGTCCCATCTATTTTCATTTTGATCACACAACAAGGTGGCACAGATAGGGAAACTTTATCTTTCTGTTGTACAGCATGTTAAAGGTGGAAGTAGGCCTCTATCTGCCTCTATCTGTATTTAGCCCCATTTGTAAGTTTTATTTTCATTATCAATTAGCCTTTCTTAGAGTGTCTAAATGTTCTTGAATAAAGCAGATGAGGTACACAATCTCTTCTTGAAGAATTTATAATCTTGGCTTTGGTAGGCATAAAAACAGTACTTTGTGGGGGGAGTGTCAACTAATGAATTGCTTAGAGAGCTTCATGAAGCATTTTCCTTGTGGTCTCAAAGTCTATGCCTAGGGTCTACCCCAACTTGGCTAAAGTGGGACTGATAACCCAAGTAAGATAAAGCTGCTTCTTCTCTAAGCCCTAGCAGGAGCAAGCTGTGGACAGAGAATTAATACAGAGGTGCTGGAGTACATGTCTGTCTCAAATTCAATGGGTTAAAACTTACAGGAAAATGTAAGTTAATAACAGTGGATTCAATTTACATGGAATTTAAAAAGTCGTGCAGATATTTAGTTGGTAATGTCTTCCTAGGATCCTTTTTTTTTTCCCCTCCTTTTCCTAGGATCCTTGAGGGAGGCAAAGAAATCTAAATGTAAGGTCTTTGCCCTCAAGGAGTTTGGGGCAACAGAGTGGAAACAGTAGTGAGTGATGTCATACATTATCAAATATGTGGGTTCAGAAGCTATATGCTGTACACGGCCGGCCCTGTGGCTCACTCGGGAGAGTGTGGTGCTGATAACACCAAGGCCATGGGTTTGGATCCTATACAGGGATGGCCGGTACGCTCACTGGCTGAGCATGGTGCAGATAGCACCAAGCCAAGGGTTAAGATCCCCTTACCAGTCATCTTTTAAAAAAAAACTAAGGAAAAAAAGAAGAAGCTATATGCTGTACAAGTTCCAAGAGAAAAAAGCAAGGAGGCTATCGTTGTAATAACAAAGGTTAACATTTGAGCACTTTTGTGTCACGTACAGCGCTAAGCCCTTTCCATGATTAACTTCCAACATCCCTATGAAATAAGTCATTTTAGAGGTAGGGAAACTGAAGGAGGCTCAGAGAAGTGAGGCGTCCTCCCTAAGGTCACACAGCTGGCCAATAAAGCTGGGATTCAAACTCCAGAGCCTGTGTTCCTATCACTACTGACTCATACAAGGTTTGTACAAGTTCAGTGACTTGCCCAAGGTCATACAATAGGCCAGTGATTCCAATCCTAGTCCATCTGACATTTATTCAACAATCATGGCCTTTCTACCACAGGATTTCTCAACCTTGGCATTTTGGGGGCCAGGTAATTCATTTTTGGGGGGAGGGCTTTCCTGTGCAGCAGCATATGATGTTTAGCAGCCTTCCTAGCCTCTACCCACTAGATGCCAGTAGCAAGTAACACCCCCCATCACCACCACCAAGTTGTGACAACCAGTTTCCAAATGTCAGATATTGACAAATGTCTCCTAGCTGAGGGGCAAAATCACGTCCAGTTGAGAACTACTGGTCTACCATAATCTGCTGCTTGTCCAGCCCTTTCACCTTAAGTAACTTCCTCAAGGTTGCCCACAGCAAGCCAGTGATAGACCCTGAAGGACAGCCCAGGAATCTCAGGGCCAAAGAGAAGGAATGGGATGGAAGTTGAACTGCCAGCTGATGTATCGCCAAGGGAACAATGGATTAACTGGTAATGCTGTTATACAAACAGAAAGCCATAACCCTTTATGATGACACTGGCATCCCTGCTGGGTCCCTACCCTCTGGTGGTAATCAAGGAGCAGCCCTCAGGGAAGGTGGTTGCCTTTTCCTTCCTGTGAAGTTCCAGTAACCTAGTTTTTACCAGGAGGCTGACAATTTCCCTTCATTGAGGGTTCCAAACAGACTTGGAACTGCTGGTCTTTTTTTTTTTCCTTTCTGGCAGCTGATCAGTATGAATTGCTAGACTTAAAAACCCAACTCAGCAGGGTTGGGAATGTGGTTAGTGGGCCCAAGGAGTCCTAGAGGGTCAGGGGAAAATGCTCCCCTACCCACAACACAGGCTAGTTAGTACCATAACTTTATCATTGAGGTTCTTTATCTAGGGACTAAGGATTGGTCCACTGTGGGGTCCATAGATGAGACCATTTGCTTGCTGCAAAAATTTGTGAGTGGATACAGAGATCTATTGTTCTTGGAAGAGGATCCAAAAAAATTAGGAACCACAGCCTTAAGAGTTCAGCATTGTAACAAGGAGCATGGGATTAGGAGTCAGAAAGAAGTACATATCCCAGCCCTGCCACTTCCTAACTGGGTTGTTAATGATCTCTCCTGAATCTTGATTTCCTCTTCTCTAAAATGGGTATTTAAAATGCAGCCTTGTGGGGCCGGCCCGTGGCTCACTCGGGAGAGTGTGGTGCTGATAACACCAAGGCCACGGGTTCGGATTCGTATAACTTCGTATAATGTATGCTATACGAAGTTATTACGGGTCAAAGAGGATGGAGAGTTTAAAGGCTTTCAAGTACTCAAGAAATGTTGGGTCAAAGAGCATGGACCATTCAAAGCTTTTCAATAAAAATACTGTCAAGTTACTTTCTAGGAAGGTTTTCTAATTCATACTCTCACCAGCAGTACAGGAGAGTGCTAGGTTCACATTAATAAAAAGAACTCTGCTCTTTTGAAAAGTGCTAAATGGTGCGTTTAAACTTATATTTCTTCGATTAGTTAGGTTGAGCATTCTATTCTGCAATTCATATTGCCTCCTTAGTGAATTGCCCGTTGATAAACCCGTTTGCTCGTTTTTCTATTAGACCAAGATCAAGGGTTTGGATCCTCGTACTGGCCAGTTGCCAAAATAAACAAATAAATAAAATGGGTATAAGAACAATCTGTGAAGGTTGTGACAACAAAATGAGAAAATATAGGTAATATACACAAATAAGTAATACGTGCAATATATATTAAGACACATTAATGAGATATCTAATAACACATAATACATGTGTTTTTAATTTATTAAATATAGCTATTATTTATAACAAAAGCCTCAAAACATCCAGTCCAAGTTCTGTTTGTTCCTTTTAGTCCAGGATTTATGACCTGGTGGAAACTCTTTAAGTTTCATTTACCCCTAGCATTGAGCCAAGACAACAGGCTGGGTCCTGGAGAGGAAGGAGTGCCCCAGAGGGCAGTGAGACACAAGACCTTAGGGAAGAGAAGGAGAAGGATCTTCATGGTGTATCTTTTTAGGGAGAATAGAGACACAGCAGTGGCCTGAACAAGGACACTTGCCAGCCAGTCCCTGTCCTTGGGGGAGAGCATTTGCCTAGATGCCATGAGCAAGGTGCTACCAAATTTTGTTGCACAAGAAAAGAAGGCAAGAAAATTTTGTTCACCAAGAGATGGTCCAGTGCAGGGCAGTGCAGTGACGGGAGGAGAGGCTTGGGTCCAGGTTCCTGTAGGAAGACTGCTCAGTTATGTCACCCATCCTCAGAGGGTATGGGAGTGGCTCCAGAAAGCAAACTCTTGCCCTCTGGCCAAGCTGCCAGTGGCAAGCAGCCAGATGTTGCCTTGGAAAAGTCAGTGAGCACTGGACTAAGCAGCGCCAACTTACATTCTGCTAGCCTCTGTATGGCCCTTCCTCTCCCTGCAGCTTAGAGGCCTCCCAGAGTAGTGAACTGGTCCTTTAAACAGCTGCCATCCTCTGCAGCCCTTCAGGCCTTGACTTGCAGGTTCTTTGTGCAAGCTTGGCTCAGCCCTTTGGGGAAAAAAAAACAGACTTATCTGAGAAGGAGGTAAAATCCTAAAGGAGGCCAGGAGAAGGGAGACAGGCTACCATGTCCTCATTTCCATTCTCTTCACCATTTATGCAGCACCCACTGAATGTCAGGTCCTAGAGATACAAAGATAGGTGCCCCACACTTTCTGCCTTAGAGGAGGTCATATCTATTGGCCAGACAAATGAGTAACCAAACCACTAAAATAAAAAGTAATATGTGCTGTAATATAGGTTATGAGTAATCAGCTATGAGAATCAGGAGGGAGTTATTAGAAATGACTAATAATAATAATAATAATAATAATATGCCTGGAAGTGCTAAAGCTTGGCAGAGAAAGTAATATTCTAGCCAGCCTTGAAGGATGAGTATGAATAATAAGTTATCCAGTGTATATGTCTGAATATTAAAAAAGAGTAATAAAAGTTAATAATTATTGAATACTTATATTGTACACAACACTGATAGTCAACTCTACCCCACAAATGTGTATAATCAATTATGCTTCAGTAAGTAAATAACTAATTAATAAAATTAAGAGGCAACCCATTTAGAAATGAAATTGAACACTTGCCCTGTCCAGACACTGTGCATATTAATTACCACATTATCTCTTCTTCGCAGCTACAATTATTTTCTCAGTTTTACTGATGAGGAACAGAGTTTCACAGAGGTTAAATAACTAGGATATCCCATGGTAGGATAGAGGAAAAGAGTATTCCAAGCAGAGAAAATATTATGAACAAAGGCCTGGAGGAGAGAAGCA